GTCGCCAGGAAACGTATGTTTCCTGTGCACCCGCAAATTCGGGCAAGCATTTTACAGCATCTAAAGGTTCGCTACATTGTATATTATCATCTATTTGAATAGCCGTGTATGTTTTTATTTCTGCGGCCGTTGCTGGTGAAGTATTAATTGCTGCCACCCTGCCAGCCAATTCTTCGATTTGTTGTCTTAACCCCTGCTCTCTTATGTGGTTCTGAACGGCCTGTTCTGTTAGGGCATTATTAACAGCTGCCTGTATAACGGACCTAAGTTGCTCGGGATCCATGACGTCTGTAGGAGGGACGGGGGGCCTGCGTCTTGGGATTGGGGCGTGGACTTGCCCTATACTCTCGGACTCTGAGTCGCTTGAGTATTGTTTTCTGTTCCTTTATTGGAGAAGCGGATCACTCATTAGTAGTCGAATTCAACTGCACAGAAATCCGTGCACGTAAGCAAAAGCGCTGCATAAACAAAGACAAAGTTGAAAGACTTTATGGGTCGTATTTCCTTTTAGTTTATCTGCTGCTGTCAAATTGTAAATTATAAAATTCTAAATACTGAAACTCTCCAAAAATTCACTTCGCACTCGTTTATTTATTTATTTGATTTTCCTCTTTTTTTTTGTTGTTACAAGAATTAAATGGGCAGAATTAAATGCTTGTTTTTCTTGAGACAGTGGTCCGAATTATATAGATAACTTTGACTGAAGACATAAAAGTTTTGGCCGAAGGGCCCACTTACATATTTTGTGAATTTTGTGTTGTATTGCAGCTACGTTTTTTCCCGCGCCGCCGTCACTTTTAGTTTCCAAGCGTTAGCTTTATTCGGTGGGGTAATCTGTTACCACTAGTTGAGCGCCAGTAAGTTTATTTGTTGATCCGGTGGGTGATGAGTCGCCGTCGGTATCAGGAAGTTCCTTTTCTTCCTCCCAGGCGAACGTTATGTCCGCTGTTGATTATTGGCCGGCTGGCCGAAGGTGTCCCAATGCTGAATTAGGATGATTACGTTGGAGGGGTGACTGCCCCTCTTACCTGCTGATCTATGGACTCAGACAGTAAATAATTATATGCAGTTAACGACTGTTAGACGGAGTTAGGTTTATGAGCGATGGCTCTTTATTATTCAAAAGTTGGATCAGAACTGAAACTTAAAGCTAACATAATTGAACTTCATAGCGGCCACTCCAATGGGCAGTGCTTGCCGGCTATGCACGAGCATCCGGCCAGACGCTGTGTCAGCAGTTTGGCCGGCGCGATGTTTACGTAAACTGTGGTCCACAACTTTGGTTTTGCTGGCCACAGTTAACTTATACACTTTATAGGGTCGGAGATGTCTCCATCACTGCGTTGCAAACTTCTAACTAAAATTATAATACCCTCTGCACTGATTGATCCAATTTTGACAAGAGTTAGTTCAGTGCCCGTGACCTTAAGTCGACCAAAAGAAACCTAAGTCTTGCGTTTCAAAAAGCGATCTTCTCAGAAACCGATGGCAGCAGAGGAAAATCAGGATTCTAAATTTATTTTATGTTTTTTTATATGTTTATATGTTTTTTTTTATGTTTAAATTAAAAGCTGAAGATGAAACTTTTGCATCTCATTGTGAAATTCAATTATGCTGACCGATACAATTTGGTGGGAATTTGAAACGCAAAAGCTGATGTTTACTTTAATTTTGATTTGCGAAACTTAGCTGGGCAACCGAAAATCGGACCTCAAAGGCAAATACAAAGACCACGGCAGTTGGAGAGTTTGAAAATATTGTTTATAATAGCCATAAGCGGCTTGGTTTCATGGATTGGATAACTTGCGGGATTTGGATTCGTTAGGATCAGCTGAGGAGATTGCTGATTTCTTCATCATTTACATGCTATTGCAAAAATTTGATTTTTCCACGCAAACTGGTTGGGAAGAGTCCACCGCCATGGAAAAAATACCCTCGGGTCAGAAATTCTATGAATTTTTGGAGAATCGGTGCCGAGAACTGTATAACCTTCAACATGCCATGGGGAGTTATACCTCAAATTGTCCGGTGGGAAACAAATAGTAAAAGTAGCTCTATTAATAGCAGGAGATCGTTTGTTGCCTACCAGAGTAACCATTTTGCATTTTGCCATGCGTGTTACGTTTAAACATTTATATCCTTTCTTGCAACATGCTGAGATCAAGAAGCTGTCTCTATGCTTCAATTGCTTTAAAAGTGGGCACCCTACTCGAGCTTGTACAAGCGGAAATTGCCGCGTTTGTGAAAATAGTGTGTATAATAATGTGTATTGCATTATTATACAAACTCTTTGCAGCTAGAAATTGAAACTGATTCTGTCATCATTTCTGAAGTTAACGCCTCCAGTTCTCTGCCAACTACCTCTCTAATCGTTCAAGGTTCAGCTTCTGATTTTACGCTATTGGCCACTGCTGTTGTATTCGTAAAAAGCCGTTCCGGTATTTTCATTCCATGGAGGGCATTGCTTGATTCAGGCTCCCAGCTGCATATTCTGACTTCTCGTTTCGCACAGCTGTTACAGCTAAAAAGGACCGGCTCAGCATCTCTGGTTTCGGGACTCGGTAAGACAAGGGTATTAAGTGAATGATGTACCGTCGGTATTTACATCTGACTATATATATATATATATATATATATATATATATATCACTGATAATCAACCAAGCATAGCCCTAATCATAGAGAATTGGAACATTCCAGCAAATATCCAACTAGCTGATCCCTTTTTTCACAAGCCTCAACGAATAGACTTACTAATTAGAGCTAGCATGCTTTATGATTTATTATGTGTTGGGCAAATTAAGCTGATCCTTGGGCTACCGCTTCTTCAGATAACTCTCCTTGGTTGTGTCGTTTCTGGTGGAGGACAAAAACAATTTAATACTATAGTGTTCTTTGTTCTGCTTTAATTTAATTATCTTTTATTCGGCTTTTCTTTCGATCGCACCGGCCACGCTTTTTTGAATGCCTCGTTCTTCTTCGTTCGTGCGTTTTTTAGGGATGCATCGGTACTTTTACAAACCAGGGATCACACACACAAAATATATCCAGGGTTACACACACATTAAAAGATAACTTAACTATATAACTTAAAACTACTTTGGCCATGTTTATATTAAGAGTAGTTTGCTTACTTAGTTCTGATTACTACAATTCGGCCGCCCTGACTATAAGGATCTCCCGATACTCGTTGACTTACTTCTAGTAACAATGCTACTTTTGCCATATTTATTTATTTTACAATTATCGTTTACTTCTATGCTTTTAATATTATTTTTGTTTTTAGTAACAATAATTTTATTTGTATTGCTAATTTCATCAGCAGGATCTATTTCCTTATCTTTTATATCTGGACTATCATTAACATCAACTTTGTCTTTTCCATTACGCCAGGGTTTCATATTATGCACCGCCCATATACCCATATGTTATGGCACTTGTGACTGCTGAAAGCTTCTACGTCTTCAATAAAGTACCAGTTACAATCTAACACCTTGGACACAACATAAGGCGCTTTGAATTTGGGAGTTAACTTACTGGACACGCCTTGCTGCGAGTTAAAAATTCGAACAAAAAATTATTTCCTTCAGAAAATAGTTGCGGTTTTTGTCGTTTTGAATCAACATTTTTTTTTTAAACTATCAATATAACAACCCCTCTGCCCAACCCCAAACAACATTACATTTGGATATTGATTCAAACTTCGGTTTTTTGTGTTATTTATTGTAAACTCTACTTTGTCTAAAACTTTGTGCCGTGGTTGATAATTCTCTACGTCTTTTATATTTATTATTGCTAAAGTTTCCAAACTCAAAGCTGTGGTACCTTGATTGCATATCGGTTGTACGTTTCGAAAAATAAAAGACAGTGTGAAATTTGTTATTACTTTTCCTTTGTAATAATATTGCGCCATAACCTAATGAGCTTGCATCACAGTGCAACTCTGTCTCATCTCTTGGATATATGGATCAATATATGATTGCTAAAATTGGAGCTTCAATTAACTTTTCCTTCAGTATAGTGAACGCATCTAGTTCTTCTTTACTAAAAGCAAACTTCTTGTATTTTCTGGTTAAATCGTAAAGTGGCTTTGCAATAATAGAAAAATCTTTAACAAATCTTGTAAAATAAGAGCATAATCCTGTAAAGCTTGAGACCTCGCTGACTTCTGAGGGCATTGGAAAAGACGTTATTGCTTCTAAACCCGTTTCGTTCGCTTTTATCTCATCCCCATTGAATGTATATCCCAAGTAATCAATGGATGATTGCAAGAATTTACATTCATCAAGTCTAAATTTTAATTTGTTTTCAACTATACTTAACTCGCCTTGCCATCGCAAATAATATTTATATTAAGCATGTCTCTATCGAATGAATCCACATTGTAACTTTCTTCATTCGCAACGATATTGTCTAGTCTGGTGTCAGCTTCGTCATCTATAGCTTCATTGGCCTCAACATTAATATTCGTTATAATTTCTAAACATTTCGGTACCTCGGGCTTGTTCGATTTCTCTACTCTTTTCTCTACATCTACCTGTTTCTCTACATTGAAATCTACTTTGTAATTGTTTCCAAGATTGCTCTTTACTTTTGTCTCTACATCTACCTGTTTCTCTACATTGAAATCTACTTTGATAAATCACTTTCGCACTTTTCCACTAAATGTATACCCACTGGCTTAATAATAATAATTGGTTAGCATCGTTAACTATTTGTACGAGCTTAAAATTACTTAGATTTAAAAAATCGCGTCCTACTACCATTGAGTACCTTACAGATTCATCAGTTACAACCAGTAATTCAATTAATACGTTTTTATTTGAACTTTTATTAAGACAAACTGTTTTTCTAATTACATTTAGTTTACTTTCGTTTATTCTGAAGAAGGTATTATTCAACTTGTTCTTATCAATGATTACGTTACTGGGAATTACTGACTTCTTTAGAAATGAGACGGGGCTTCCCGAATCTATGAATCTATGGAATACAATTTTTTTGAATTATGTATCGTATTTTTAAATTGAACTCTAAAGTGTCTTACATTTTCGTTGCCAGATTCTTTCTTCTTGTACAATAAACACTCTCTAGCCAAGTGTCCAACTTCTCCACAGGCATAGCAAGCTCCATCAGCCCGTACTGGCTTGCGGCATTCCTTATCCAGATGGCCAAGACTGTGGCAGTTAAAGCATTTGACAACCCTCTGTTCCGGGGTCGCAGCGGTTGATGAAGACTTTCCTTGCATCTTTTTTTTGATGTACAGGAGCTCTGGGTTTCTCTACATCTTGAAAGGCTTCCAATACATCAGCAGGCACTGCAAAACGTTGTAGTTTCGCTTTGTTTTTAAGTTGTACATTTTGTATGCCATCTATCAAGTACTGCACTAGTTCGTGAACAGTCATAGCGATGTCTTGTGCCAGAGTAGGTTTGTCAATGTAGTAGATGGCAAACTTCTCACCGAATTGCCACTGGCGGTTTTCAAACTTGCGTCGCATTTCCAAAACATTATCCTTGGTTCCAAAAATAATTTTTAGTTGTGCCAGAATCAAGTCGATACTCCCAGACAACAGTGATGGGCGAGATGACAGCCAAAAATTAGCATTGCCGTTTAAGCGTGAGCAAATTAATGGACGCCTGACGTCATCACTGACTTTGAACACATTACGAACATTTTTTACCACCAGCAACCATTCGTTTATGTTGCCATCGCCGTTGAACTCTGGGAGTTGCTCTTTCATGGTGTTCAAGTTCATTTCTGGCTTGACAAGAAACGTAAATTTTGCATCGCCTGTTCCATTCCCGCAGCGTTGCCACCCGATTCGTCCAGTATGTTGCTAGCTCGACTACGTCGAACGCCAAAGGTTAAAGTACTTGGTTGAACGCCGAAGGTTGAAGTACTCGGTTGAACGCCGGTTCCTGAAGGTTGAACGCCACCACAATCAACTGTCTCGACAAGTTTAAGTTCGTTGCCGAAACCGTCTTCATCTTCTTCTTCGCTTTGTTCTTCGTTGTTGTTATTGGCTGCATTGGCGAAAGCCATCTCGCCGTCTTGTTCTTCGTTGTTGTTGTTGGCAGCATTGGCGACAGCCATCTCGACGTCTTGTTCTTCGTTGTTGTTGTTGGCTGCATTGGCCAAAGCCATCTCAACACCAATTTCGCCTCCACCTTTCGTAGACTCCACCTTTTCGTAGTACAACTCCGTAGCATTCTCCGACGGTAGTACAGCACTTAACTGCGCAATTAGTTTCCCTTTGTGGACAAGCCAAGTTTTTCAAAGAAACTTTTGATTTCCATTAGTTTGAGTTCGCCGAGATTAATGTGTGATGCCATTTCAACAGATATTTTCCTATTCCGATATAACTTGATTAGGGTCAGTTACCACTTCTGGATTAAAGTGTTCTTTATTCTGCTTTAATTTAATTATCTTTTATTCAGCTTTTCTTTCGATCGCACCGGCCCACGCAAAGAAACATCAAAGACGCAATATTACAGCGTGGGGGCGTATAATAAATGGTGAAGGTACAGGACACCTCAAGCTTACGCGGTGTTCAAATCGTTTAAAAAGTGACCAAACTTACTGATATCGCCAAGACAAATTTCTATTCCCGTAAATTCAACAACGCATCTTCCACTACTCAGACATGGAAAATATTAAAAAACCTCGGAATATGAAAAATTAATCAAAGACTTGAGCAAGACATAAATATTAATGAACTTAATAAAAAGTTCTTAAGCTGCACAGAACCTGAAATCACTGAAAATAAATATTTGATAACCCACGATTTTTACCTGAAACTGTCTGAATTATTAGATTTAGTTAACCAGTGTGATGTCCTTCAGAGTATACTAAGAATTAAGATTAAAGCCACTGAATCTGACAACATAAGCCCCAAATTTATAAAAACACTGCTGCCAAAGATCCTTCCATATATAACGTATACCTTTAATACTGCACTGACAAAATCTACATATCCGGACTGTTGGAAAACAACTAAAATAATTCCGATTCCCAAATCAAATAATGAGTCTGTACTCATTTCCATCCATACCTATCAAAGATATTTGTAAATCTCATGGCTGAAATTAATACATTTATGTCCGACAATGCAATGCTTAATAATAATCAGTCTGATTTTAGCAAAAACAGAAGCAGAAGAAACATCTCAGCTATTTTAAAAATTGCCTAAGGGAACAAATAGACGAAAACAATGTTACACTCTTAGTTGTACTGAACTACAGTAAGGCCTTCGATACAGTAAACCACAATGTCCTTTTTGCAAAACTACGTAATATGTTTATGTTTTCTAAATCTAGTCACACTTGTGTCTTCGTACCTACAAAATCGTCGTCAATCTGTTTTACTGTTACGTCTTCATATGAAAATGATAATCATGTTGTACCACAAGGGTCTGTGATTGGTCCCTTATTGTTTACCTTATATGTTAATGACCTTCCCAATACGTTATCTGAATTAAATGTACAGTTGTATGCTGATGATGTCGAAATGTATGTGAGTCGTCCTTTAAACAGAATAAATGAAAGTATAGATGTTTGTAACAGAGAACTTGAACTTGAACAGAATAAATGAGTATGTAGATGTTTGTAATTGCCCGTAGTTTTTGGTTAAAAAGCCGGAAAAAGTGCAAATTGTGAAAAAAGTCGACCCAAGAAAATCGAGGTAAAAAACCATAACTTTTAGCTTCAGGCTTATGTATTCTTTGCCCTTCGTTATCGGTCAGTGTATCTTTCTCCGATATCACTTCCTAGTGTTGCTGATCAAGAATATATATACTTTATAGGGCCGGAAATGTTTGCTCACTGTGTTGCAAAACATTTATATATAATAGAGTCGTTTAAAAATCGTAGATACGCATTTTGAAAATGCAAAAAAGATGCTAAATCGCCTACCTCAGTGCCGCCTGCCGAGCGAGTTAGTTAACCATATGAGGGCAGTAGCGCGCATTAGCAGGCCTTAAGGGCGGTCGTCTTTCCAGCACAGCCTAAGGATCTGCCAGCAGCACTGGCACTAGTTAGCTAGCAGAGGCGAGTATTGAACGAAGTAAGTTTGCGGCAACATATGCCAAGGCCGTCGAGCAGAGAAATCAGAATTCTGATTACCACAAGGACCAACAGCGTGTGCCTGAGAAACAAAAAGCAAAAAAAAATCAAAACAATGACTATTGGCACATACAGGATAACTGAACTGATCGGGGTAAGCGAGGTCATGCCCAGAGCCCATGGATTTAGATCCATAATCTTCTAAGCCTAGAAATCCAAAGAATTTTAAACAATCCCAGGAGAATAATACACAGTTTTCTACTTCTCAGAACCAAAAAGGCCAAACTCTTTTGAAGGAATGAGAAAGAAGAGCAATATTAAAAAAAATACGGCCGCAGCCGCACTGAATGCAATTAAGCAATAGACTAGAAAGATCTTCTTAATTTTTTAGAGAAAGGTCCCGCTTACCGTTGAGCGGAGATTACTCCTGATAGACACTGGGGCAAAAAATAATGTGAAGCCCGTCAAGGAGCACCTACCACGGAAGCACTGAAGACTACTAGTGGGAATTCACACAGGTCACTTTCTAACCGCGGCGCACGCAGTCAAACTAGGCATTACTAACAATGGCAGTTGCAGGAAATGCGATGACGCTGGGACGTGCGAGTCCCTGGAACATCTTATCTGTAACCACCCAGATCTCTCAAGGGCAAGGAGAATATACCTGGGCTTCCCAGAACTGGCATCGCTAGGTTCATATTGAAACATCCGGAGAGTTAAAGGCCTATGGGAGGCCCCCCCTTACCTCTTCGGGCCAACGTAACCTAACATAATGCCTGTCGTCTCCCTATTCACAGTGAGTACCATACATGGCCCCAGTAAAATACCCCTTCTTTTCACTAGATACCCTAAGTACGTTTGATGTCATTAAAGATTTCGTTCTGCTTACGCAGGCGGGAGCGGCTTTAGACTTACGTTTCTGCGGAATCAGGTACGGAAACGTAACCAAACAGCTTAAGTTCGTCGAATGCCCTTATGTCAATTCTACAAATGTCGATAGTATTGTAGTTCCAAACTGATTGAATCTGAATTTAGACAAATTATCCTTAAAAGGAGTAAAGTGTTTTCAAACTTTAACGAGGCACGCTTGCGCAGTTGTCTTAAAGTTGCACTTATTGGGAACACGATTTCCTTGAAGCCACTATAAAATTTCCGTTTTGTCCATTTCAAAATGGAGTCGCACGCCAAAACGCAAATATAAGGAAAAAAAACTTGTATGTTCTCGGATAGCCAAAATGTTGATTAAGGCGGATGTTTAAAGGTTGTCTATCGCACTTCTGAAGTTGTTATCGTAGTTTTTTTTACATTTTTATTTCAATTTTATGTTAGCGTGGTTTTTAGAATGTTTGTGCGCTTTGCTCTCTTGTATCGTAGTGTGCCTGTTCTTTGATTTTGTCTCAATCCTTAGCTTTAGCAATATAAGTTCAACTTAGTTTTACGTCAAATCGGAACGGTGGGATTGTTACATATATGTAGGTACATATGTGTACTTACATATATAATATTACTTAGAAATATTTAAAAAATGTGATTAACACATAATTATATCGCACCTTATCAATACACTGCTAACAGTATATAAATCTTTATCAATAATTACATCAACTCGGCCTGGCTTATTAAAGTTCGGGTCAGCTAATAAGAAACTTTGCCATTCTGATTTATCTATATTTATTTCTCTAACAGAAAGTGCTTTTATTAATTTTTGCAATTTTCTCTAGTTGGTTTTGGCGACCTTTCCAAAGTATATTAATTGTTAGCCGGCTCGGGGTCAGGATGTTGAAAAAAAAACACAAAATTATTTTAATTTTGTTTATTTGTCAATATATTTCGGATGCACTTCGGCAACCGTCTTCAGGACAACTATAAAATAATTACAACGATTTTAATATTTTTAACAAACAGAAAACAATTTACATTTGACATACATTTAATTTACACGTCTGCGTCCGGTGACGTGGCAAGGCAATATTATTGCCTTGGTTACCAATGGCTTTTTAGAATTAAGGGATTTTATTTCCATTTTTATATTATATTTCGATACACTTCCACTTTCAGAAGATATCCCACTAATCTCAGTTTTAGATTTTGTTTAGGGCAGCTTTAGTGGTGTCAATAAAATTTTTTAATTGCCAATAAATAATTAATTGTCAATAAAATTTTTAACAGCAGAGAAAAGATTACGATTGCTTTTGTACCGCTTGGTTAGAAGTTCCCAACAATAGGTGAGCGACAACTTTTTGCCCTTCACCTTTTAAAGCTGATTTTAAATAATTAGATTCTCCCTTATATGTATCAACTCGACATACAGTTCTTGAAAAAGGTCTCACTTTTTGGCGTCACCGTCAAATGTGGGCACCTGAATTTTTGGTAGGCTTGGCAAATTTTCTATTTTTCCCACCACCTCAAAAATTATTAACAACTTTCTCCTTAATTTACTCATTTATTTCAGACGAAATATTCTCAATGTCAAATTACAACTCGCTAAGAGTTAAATAAAAATCTACAGTACAGTGTTTTTAGTTCTGAAATATTTTGCCAAAGCTTAAGTGCAAACAAGTCCAACAAACTTCCACAAGTAACTGATGTAAAAATCTTTGAAGTCCACCTGGATAGAGGGCTTACTTGTCACAAGCATATTGATTTTAAAAGAAATCTACTGAAATTTAAAGCTAAGTCTATTCTGGCTAATAAACTCCCTTTCACCACTCAACACTGGGGTACAGAGTACTTTTGTACAATTCAGCCCTTAAAACAATTTGGCCAAGTGTTTTTTTAATTCTAATTCAACCCAATACGAGTTAGCGTCTAACATTCGCTTATATACACAATTAGCTGGTTTGCTTGAGTGGTCTTAACTCACATACCAAATCGTTGGCATTACTCCACGGTCAAATTCCTTTTAGTTGACTTGGCCTAAGAATATTAGTGTTAGGCCATTTTTATATCAATTAGTAAACTTTTTTTTAGCTGCTTGTGTCTTTTCACAATCTTCAATTAAACTAGTCAACTGTTTTGTTACCATAAAAAAGTTTATAGATTTCTTGTAAACATAGTTACTTTCTTGAAGTATAGTCGTCGTATTCATTTGTTCATGTACTTGAAATTTCTATTAACTTCTTCATATGTTTTTTAAGCACATTAGCCGTTGAATACACTATAGACAATTGCTTTTTGCCTAGATCATTAAGGCTGTGCTGGCTATCTAACAAATTTCTCATATTTTGCTCCTATTGTACCCTATTGTCATCATCCATTATTCCAAGCAGGATGACACTTATTCAAAGTGGTTTCTGTCATAAACGATACGTGTCAACCTCACAATTGTACACTAAATACTCTGAATTAGTATGGTATTTTAGTAATGGTATTTTAACATGTACTATCAAATTTTGTCTTTGACTGTGTTGGCTATCTCACAAATTTCTCATATTTTGCTCCTATTGTACCATATCGTCTTCATCCATTATTCCAAACAAAATGACACTTATTCAAAGTGGTTTCCGTCATAAAATGATACGTGTCAACCTCAAAATACTTTGAATTAGAATAAACTATTAGCTAACTCTCTTCATACCCCATCTAACTTAGATGAGTATCAGCTAAGTAATGGCATTTTAAGATTTACTATTAATATTTTATCTATAAACAAAGCTGTCAAAAGTGTATATACCTCTTTTAGTTCTGCTCCAGTAATTTTTTCTGGTAAAAAACTAGACTTTCCTTAATCTTAGATATATCCCCTTTAAGTTGGCTTGGTCTAAGAACATTAGAGTAAAGCCGACCAAGATTTAAGTCGTTTAGTGAGCTTATTATACCTGCTTGTGTCTTACAACTATTTAACTGTTTACAACTATTTAACTGTTATGTTACCAAAAAGAAGTATATAGACTCCTTATAATAGTAACTTTCTTGAAGTCTAGCTGTCTTGTTCTTTATCCGTTTTTTCATGTATTTGAAATAACTATTAACTTCCTCATTTGTCTTTTTAAGAATATTAGCCGTTGAATCCACTATATACAATTGCTTTTTGCCTAGTATATTAAGGCTGTGTTAATTATCTAATGAATTTTTTTATATTTTGGTATATTTTTATCCTAGAACGTAATTTCAGGGTCCCATAAACACTTATGCAGCTGGTTTTTTTCTTGGGCTGCTAAGAGCCATAAACAATTCTTTATTTTTTTATAACATCATCTTTTTTACTAAAGCGCTTTCTTGCTTATAATTTCAAACTAAGCATCCATGTTGTAAAAAACGACTAAATTCCAAAAGGAAGAGATACGTTCCCGTTCATTCATTGGATCCAACTATACAGCTGACGTTTTATTTATCGTTTCAATTTTATATTTAGGTGTATTTTCTGAGGTATGTGCTGCATTAGACATTAGACAAAATAACATCAATATCAGCATACTCATTACCAACCCCGGCTTGGATATCCTAGAACCATCTCCAGTAATTCTTTTTGATTTAGATTCTTCTTCAGTATTTTCAGCAGCTTTTATTCGAACTACTAGACCCTTATCTATATTGTACACATTCATAGATTTTAAGCCGCCCTCCCAGATACCTCCTTCTTTCCCGAGTTGAGAGGCAACCGCGAATTTTTCTGGTGGTTCTTTCTCAACTCTTCGTCTAACTTTCTTGCTGCGCCCACAAAATTTGTTTGTGGCTTGGAATCTCCCAAGAATGTATCGTGCTTAAATGGAATATGAAGTTTTAATAAAATTGTTTTCACAAATTTCAGTTTCAATGTAAATTTTATCATAATTTTCCAAATCCCAGGATCGTTCTAAATCTTGTAATGCAATTGTAGTTGCAACTATTGAATGATTAGTCTTACACTTAGTAGAACCAGAAACAATCTAACCAAAATGTGTATTTTGACCTAATAGACCTTTAATTTATGCAATACCTTTCTTTAAGATATGTGTATTTTTCATATATTTTTATTTTCTCTCTTAAATCGTAGTGTGCCCGTTCTCTGACCTTGACTCAATCCTTAGCTTTAGCAATTTTAGTTCAACTTAGTTTTACATCGAATCGGAACAGCGGGATTGGTACATAAATTTTGAAGTTAGTACTTAAATAATATTACTTATACGGGCATGATACTACATTGTTCGCCTCATTCATTGACGGATTCATTGAAGCTCAGAGACAGAGACACATGTAAGGATACTGCTTGAGATTTTTTTGGTAATAAGTTAACGGTCACACTGCCTTTTTAACGCTAAATTCAAATTTTATTGTTTGGTTTATTATATTGTTTTTATCACGCCAATTTTAAAGTTTAAAGGTTTTCAGTTGTTACCTTTAAATGATAACAAGTATTTCGTATACATATAAGCCTACAAATCCAATGAATGAGCAAAATTGTACTTTTTAAATACAATTTTGCTTATAGATGTATCGGCCCCGGTGGTATTTTATCGAATAAATCTCTCTCTGAACTTCGAAGAGGCGAGTGAGTATCTTATCACAAGAACAACACTATGCCGAACGATTCACCATAGAAATGCTACATATCATAAAAACAACTACAGACATACGGATGAACTACAAAACGGACACTGACAATTGCGCTTATTTATACAGACATTTACTAGGGAAAGAAAAATTAGTTAACAACTCCATGTCACCGGAAGCATACGTGTAAATTAAATGTATGTCAAATGTAAATTGTTTTCTGTTTGTTAAGAATATTAAAATCGTTGTTATTATTTTATAGTTGTCCTGAAGACGGTTGCCGAAGAGCATCCGAAATATATTGACAAATAAACAAAATTAAAATAATTTTGTGTTTTTTTTTCAACATCCTGACCTCGAGCCGGCTAACAATTAATATAGAATGTTATTTTTGTTGCCCAACTCAGTCTAGTATTTTACTATCGGGTATCGAGTTCTGTCAATTTTCTTTATTCATTGCTCATTGGAATCCTCATAAGTTTGTCGCGTTACGTAAAATAGTATAGTTAAAAAAATATATGAGCAATGAATGAGGCCAACAATGTAATGTCATAAGCCCATTAGAAATAGTTATAGGTACATGTGTTAATCACATAATTCTATCGTATCTAATCAATACACTGCTTACAATATACAGATTTTAGTAAGGCTTTTGATTCTTTTAATCATTCTGTTCTTTTACTTATATTAGATCAGCTCGTGTTTTCGAATAATCTTTTAACTTGGATTTCAAGTTATTTGAAAGAAAGAACTTAGAGGGTTATTTTTAAAAAAATTAAATGATTAACGTAACAACTGGAGTGCCTCAGGGAAGTCATTTGGTCCCATTGCTATTTACTTTAAAACACATTCTTGAGTATTAATGTATGCTGATAATGTT